CTGAACAATTACCTGTTAATGTTTGCAACTCTATTGATAAGATTAACAGGAACTTTGTCTGGGGCGAAGAGGAGGACCAAGGGAGGATGCACCTGGTAGCTTGGGAGAAGCTTTTGGAGCCAAAGGGGCAAGGAGGAGCGGGGCTTCGGTCCTTAAGACAGGCGAATCTCTCCCTCCTAGCTAAGACGGGCTGGCGCTTCCTGACGGAGAAAGACAACCTTTGGGTGCGAATTATGGAGGACAAATACGGGAGGAAGCGGAAGGGCATTGAGATGCTTCGGTCGAGTCAGGGAAGTTCTTTTGCTTGGAGAAGCATGACTAAAGCTTCTGATTTGTTAAAAAAGGGTCTTGCTTGGAATATTCACAACGGGAAGAACACTAATTTCTGGAAGGATGTGTGGTGTTTGCAGGTTCCCCTGATGAATGTTGCAGTGCAGCCCTTGCCGGAGGAGATGCTGGCGGATTCGGTGGCGGATTATGTGGACGAAGATGGATGCTGGGATGTGGACCGTTTGAAGGACTGGCTAACGGAGGATGCCCTGAACAAAGTCACGGCGGTGGCGGTTGATCCGCTCTCGACCACTGATGACGCTCTCTTCTGGTCGGCCTCTGAAAATGGCCGATTCACTGCTAAATCGGCGTATCTCATGGCGTACCCCGGACAGACGGGGCACAATGAGAGTCTGTGGAAGAAGATTTGGCGGCTTCACGTCCCGGAAAGAGTCTGTTGTTTTACCTGGTTGGTGGCCTTGCGGAAGATTGCGACTAATGTGCTTCGTTTCACCAGGAAGTGTGCGGATTCCCCAGATTGTCACAGATGTACTGGCACCCCGGAGACTGTCCTTCACATTCTCCGGGATTGTCCGCCGGCTGCGTATTTCTGGTATAGACAGGTTCCTCAGGCAGAGCATCACGATCTCTTCTCGGCCTCAGTTGAGGATTGGATAAGAAGCAATGTTAACAGGGAGGAGGAGATGGAGTCAGGTATGGCATGGAATGAGTTTTTTGCATCTGCTATTTGGTTATTGTGGAAGAACAGGTGCACAGCCTGCTTCAAAGGCATTGGAGCGGCTTTGACTGCCCCCTCTCTGGCGAATTCTATCCTTCATAGAGCTTCTCTCTGGCACACGGCGTGGGTCTCAGGCAGCGCGGTTCAGCTCCAAGGCTCCCCTGCGGTTCATAGGGTGCTGGCGGACATCAGGTGGGTGGCCCCCCCCGGCGGATGGATGAAGCTGAACGTGGATGGGGCGTCGGCCGGGAATCCAGGGCAGGCTGGTGCGGGAGGGCTAATTCGGGATGAGCAAGGCAGATGGCAGGTTGGGTTTGTGGCAATGATTGGGGAGGCGACCGCTGCCTTGGCCGAGTTGTGGGCTCTGTTCCATGGGCTGAATCTCGCTTGGAAGTACAGGTGCACCAACCTCTTGATTGAGACGGACTCTCAATTGGTGGTCCAGTGGCTGAAGAACAGAAGTGACCCTCTCCATCCTCATGCCTCTCTGCTGGCCTCCATCAGGAGACGCACGGCGCAAGACTGGCTGGTTAGCATATCTCATACATACCGGGAAGGGAATAGAGCCGCGGACTGGCTCTCGAAGCACAGTCTCGTCTATCCCTATGGTATGCATGAGCTTGTTAATCCGCCTACGGGTATCGGAAGCATTCTTCAGGACGATATGAGAGGAATTTCTTTTGAGCGGAGGGTACTAGCTACCCGGTCTTTGTAATTCTGTTCCCCTTGTACCCCTTCTTGGCGCTAGCCTCCTTTTACGCAAAAAAAAAAAAAATCAGAATGTGCCACTTAACTCTCTCTCTCTCTCTCTCTCTCTCTCTTATTTTTAAATCTCCCCTACTACTCTTAATTGATTCATATTTATTTCGCTTCAACTCCAAATTTAAATATTATTGCGCGAAAAAATAAGATTTTATGTGATCTACACAAGGATATCCATTTTGATATATATTTTTTTTAAACATAGCCACAATCATATATATACAAGGCATGTTCCTATTCGATAGTTGCGAAACTATATCAATATCATTCAATTGTACCGCCATAAAGTATATACTAACATAGATCGCAGAACAAATTTCTTATTCTACTGAGTTACTAAATAATATCAATGTTTAATTTTGTAATATCATAATAATAATGCACAACAATTTCATGGGTGCTAAAATATTGTCGTGCAGTACAAACTAATTTACCTTAAAAAAAATCATTTAGCGGCCAACTGGTCGGACTCAAAGGTATACACGATTTGAAATGAGAGAGGACAATGACAGACTGAACAAAATAGACACCTTAGGAGGAAAAAGTTACCAAAGTACATATTTCAAACAAAATTTACCCGGCCAACGGACCGGGTACCAAACTAGTAGAATTAATTGCCTTGTAAGTTGTATCCCATTATTTTCCCCTTCTTCGTTATCCCTAGCATGTTCCTCTTCCATTTTGATACAAATCATCGGAGAGAAGGCAGAGATGGAGTCGATGCTCTCAATTCCAGTGGCGCCAGCAGTGGAGATCTTTCAACAGGAATAGAAAAGTCGATGTTCCCAACTCCAGTGGTGATGGCGAATCTTTCATCCCGGACTGAGCGGTCAAGTTCTAGGTCAAAATCCCTAGATCCATTCCTACGAGAGGGGTTAGGAGGAGCTTTCTGTCTTCAAGTGTTGGGGGGGAGACAAGTGTGGAAGCAGATAGAAGATGTGCAGTGGGATGATTTTTTTTTATTTTTTTGGTACAAAATGTTTTTCAATTCAAGTGATTTTGCTAAGATATCACTGCATACCCACAACCCCTATATGCTTTAAAGCACTTCAACATACAACATTTCTTAAAATGCTACACCATTTAGCGTTTTATTTGGAAAGCACTGTTCATCGAGGCGTTTAAATAAAAACGCCGCTAAGTGATCAGCGCTTGTGTATATAAAACGATTTTACTTACAACGCTCTAGCTTAAAGCTTCTATTTCAACAATTTATTTAAAACGCTTTATGTCTCGGCGATTTGTTGAGAAAACACTTTCATATACAATGTTTTATGCCAAAGTCGGACATTTCAAAGAATAAACTACAATTTTGAGTATTTGAGAATTTTAGTTTAGTAATTAGGGCAGTCTAGGGGAAAAAATCCCATTGATCTAGTACCACCCTTGAACCTATTGGCTCGTAATTAGAGCCAGACGAAGCATGCACCTTATCTATTCCGATTCTCATACCTTTCCAGTTTCCACAAAAGAAATTTGTCTTCTTAATACTCCTTTTTTTTACCTCCACATATAATTGATACCGTACCTAGTACAATAATACACATGTACACAACACCACATAAATCTCAGAAGAACCCACAATATTGGCAGAGTACTTCATATCTGACATATCATATGCAAATATGATGATTGTCAAATCAAGCATGAAATATATCAGTACTTTTTACATTTGATGCTCCATTAGTATAATATTGTCTTCTTTTGGGCTAAATTGGTACAAATGTATTTTTGGCTTCCTTAAAAAAAACCTCTGATGAGTCTTATCAATGAAGGCTGATGAAAACAACGATCATTTTTCTTATATTTCGGATGTGGCACTTCAATTTTCCCGAATGTATATACTCAAAATCCATGATATATATACATATCCATCTCGCTTACTATGTAAGAGTTGTAGTCACGTACTCACAGGGACACCTCAATAGTCCCATTACTGAAAGGTAACTTATTATGGCAAGGAGACCAACCTATGTTGAATTACTACAGAGAAAGTCATTGTTCTGCAAAATGATGAACAGAAAAGATGATCAAGTTCAAATGAGTTATTTAAAACAAATCAATTCGATTAATTTGTCCTCATCCCAAACAATTATAATTATCTCAAAATGAGTCAATTTAAAAATCTTCAAACTAAATTGCTTTATTCAAATTTCAAACAAGACAATTTGACAGACAATTGTGTTAAGGGGTCGTTTGGTATAAGCATGTAATCTACCCACGGGTTTCAAGATTACATGATATATGAGATTCCACTGTTTTTCTTGTTTTATTTTTGGACAGATATCATGATATTGGTGCACCATGTAATTCTAGAATTCATGTGACCATGATATCTCAAATGTTTTGGTTTTACCTAAAGTATTTGAGCTTTCATGCCAAATTATGTGGGTTCTACCATGAACTTATGCAAGCCAAACAATGCATTCTAATATTACACAAGTTCTCACCACTCAGCCTACAATATATATGAATTCTTCAAATACATGAATTCTACATTCTTAGAATTCTCCACTCCCAAGAAGTTTTGATTCTCGTACCTAGGGGTGTTCAAATGGTTATCATAGTAATAACCAAACCAAAGAAGTCCAAAATCTATTAACCATGGAATGCAATATCATAATCAAACCGTCCAAACTAATACAACAACCAAATTAACCAAACTAAAGTTTATTCGGTTTGTTTAATTGGTTAACCAAAATAACCAATATAACACCACATTATCATTAAGTGAGAAAAATTTCCAGTTAGTGCATCAATTCGCAATTTATATAATGAACAACACATAACAATCCACATAATTGTAGTTAGCTCTTAACGTAAATACATGGAACAAATACAATTATCTTACATTTTGACTCTTGAGTGGTTATGCAAAGTATTAAGTATGTGTATACAATATATATTAGATATATGACAAATTACTTAACTGGTTAATTTGGTTTGATTGGTTAGGAGTGTCTGAAACCAAACCACATAAACCAAACAAGCTAAATTTTTTAACCAAACCAAACCAATTATCAAAATTAACCAAATCAAATTAGCCAAATACTACTGGTTAAAATGGTTACCACGGTAACCACACGGTTTGAACACCCCTACTCGTACCACTCTACCAACATGTGAATGCATAGGTCTGATGTTTGGGATTGAGTAAAAAATGGGAGGACCAATAAAGTTGAAAAGACACGATGGTTGATAATATTTCATATTCCACAAAAAGTAATTTGTCTTCTTACTCAATTTAATACTCTCCACATATAATTGTCACATTGAAATGGGTATAGTTCATAGTACAAAAATACATATGTATATGCAACATCACACAAATTCCAGAAACTTGAGTGGTACGTAACTGAAAAGGGACATTCATTCATCCTAGCTAGCTACTTTTACAAAAACTAATTTTAATTTATACTAATTACACATCACTGGTACAAAAATCTAAATGAACCGTTCGGAATCAAACCGAAATCCATCGTCGAAATTAATATCTTCAACTGAAAAATCCGTATTCATAATCGAGGAGCCATCAAGACCACGATAATCGTAATTACCATAATCATACCCATAGTTACTAACAGCCTCCTCTGCTTCCAGATCAAACGACACAAAATCCTGCCACATGTTCACATTCCCATCATTCTCCACCATCATCTCATCATTATGATAAACCGTCACTCCACTTGGGCTCTCGTCGTTATTGGAAACCTCTTGCTTCACACTCACCGTTGCAGACGGCTCGTTCTCAATCGACTCTGCCTCCACCGCCGTCGCCGCCGCCGGTGGAAGAGCTGCTGCCGACGTCAGAGCATTGTTATTTCTACAAGTGTGGTGGCCGAGGTAAGTTATGGAGTACATCTCCTTCTCCTGTTCAAGCTGCTGAACTTGCTTCGTCGCCTTGCAACCTTGATCGAACTTGTGAGTGCATCTGTAGTAGCTCCTGCAAACATTCAACACCTAATTTATCAGCCCTTGTAAACTATATTATCAATCGGTTAATCATTCAACAAAGTATTGTGTTTGTACCTAGGGAATTTGGCATGGAGGATCTCCTTTTGTCCATACTTCCTCCAAGCATGGCCGTCTTGTGTTAATGATGAGACTATTATGCGGGAATTGCAACTCTTCCTGTGTAATGACATGACACAGGGGGAAAAACAATTCAATCAGTAATTGTGACAAAAGTCAGATAAGACATACATTTAATGCCAGCCAAAAAAAAAAAAGATAGGTGGCAGAGCAATCACAATTCACAAATTACACATACCTTCTTTTGTACGTTCCCCTGTTGTCCCTCCCGGCGGCGCCACTCTTCCCCGCCGGCGGCGGCGGCCTCTTCCGGCTCTCGCCGGAATCCTCCTCGAAGGGGCCGGATCCGGCAGACGACTGCTGCTCCCCGTGAGAGACAGATTGGAGATTCTCATCAATCCCATTAACAGTGGTACTGCTGAGAGCAGAGATGGCATCGGCGAAAGATGTGGAGATCTTGCGGAGGAGTTCATTCACGGTGGGATATTGATTGTTGATGAAGAGAAGTTGGAGCTGGGAAGTGAACTGTTGACCCTGGAGAAGCTCTTTGATGATGGCCTCCTGCTGCTTCTTCCCAGCCTGTGTTTGGTTGAAATAGGAAGTACCCATTAGAGAGCAGTGTGTTTGGAGAAATGGGTAGTGATTGGAAATGGCAAAAGATGAGGAAAGTTTTGTTCTTTTTCTGCTTTGGGTGTGGGAAAGTAGTGTTTGTTGTACATGGGGATTGTAAGTGCAGTTTGATGAGTAGGTGGGTGTTTTTTGGTGCTTTTTGGTTATATAGAAGGGAAGGAGAGGGGAGAGATTGTTTTGTGGGATTTGGGGGAAAGAGATGAGCAAAGTGAAGGAAAGGAGGAGGAAGGATCTTTGGAAAATGTGGGGGGTTTCTGTTCTATCTTTTTAGTGGAAAGTAAACTGTGGGGGGGAGGAATTAATGAAAGGAAATAGGAAGGATACATGGAAGATTCATATTATTATTTTTTATATTAAGAAAAAAACAAGAATTGTTTTTGTTTTTTGTTTTTTAGGGCACTAATTCGTCAGCAATGTGGGGAGATTACATAAGCAGATGATGTAAATTAGGGTAGCATCAGCCTGATGCATGCAGAGAGAGTACTGATCTCAACTCAAATGCCCTACGCTACTTTCTTACCACTTCTCTCCTTCTGGAAATAAATTAGAAATAATTCCCCAACAAGTTGTTTATAATTTTTTTTTTAAATTATTTTGTGTCATTAGTCAAATGTATATTTCTATGCATATTCGATTGATTAGGCAATTATTTAAAGAGGGCTTTAACCTTTATCTAAGTGCCAATAATTAACAAGTAACTTGGAGATGTGGAGCTTTATTGATCATGGACGATTGGATTTACTAGTTCCTTTCTTACTAGTATTTTTTTTTATAATTTTTTTTATCATGGTTAACTGTGACTGACTACGATAATGTGGTTCATTTGTTCAAAGCCTTTACAAGAATACTTTCAAACCCAATTTTATTTTTGTTCCGGTTGATCGATCCGACCAACAATATTATCGTTATTATAAATTATCAAGCTTTGTTGTTTTGCTGTCACTAAGATACTCTTCACATGCATCGAAAATGTAAGTTGAATTTCTTTAACGAGATATATTCGAACAAGAATATGTGATATATGAATAAGTAAATTTATTCTATTTTCTTTTTTTAGAGCTGCATGTTGCTGGTGCTGCATCTCTAAACTATAATTCCATCTAAATTAGTTTATTCGAGATAGATGTGAACACATAAACTAACTGATTTCGTGAAAGTGTATTTATAAATATTAATTAATATGATCGTTCTCATGTGCTGCCTGACCATCCTTATTTTTTTTGGCAATATATATATATATGTGGTGTCTCTTAGTGCGCTGAAGAGACAAATAATTAGTAAATCTAGCGAATTTATTAGTATATCCAGAAAAATTGATTACTTAAAAAACATGTTGATTTTTATTAGTTATATCTTTCGATCTCCCTACAAATAATTAAACAACAACATAATGATGTTTATTTCTGGACGGCAAAAGCTAATTAAGACTGGCAAGAGTAGTACTACAGAACCTGATGATGTTTAGCTTTAGTTCCGTCTAGAATATAATGCAATGACAAAATGATTATATAGTCTAATAGTCAAAGGAAAGAAATTCAATTTAATTCACTGCGAACAAAATTTTCCTGATTTCGATGAACTCTATCAAACATTAACGACAACAAGTACATTATTGATTATACATTGTCGTTTCCATTTTTACTATGGTTGGTCCTTCCCATTTTTCAACGGTTCTAGAAAATATGGGTGTAGCAGGATAAAACTTTGTTTCGTTAGAAGTAGGGATGGCAATGCGAGTTTAGGGCGGGTTTGGTTAAATCATTCTCATCCCTATTCCTATTATCAATTACCCAAACTCATATCCGTCTCATACTCATGCGAAGGGAGGTTTTGCAAACTCATCCCCATAACCATGGGTTTCGGATACACATGGGTAATACCCGTCCCGTATAAGCAATATGACTATATCAAAAGTTCAACATGTATGTCTTCAATTAGAACACAAAACATACATAATAAATAGCGGAAATCAACATAGTTATAGTATTTCTTAATAAGAAAATACATTCAATCCTAAAATATTGATTAATCAATAAAATAAAATGAAAATATAATACTAATCAAATCATTCATCTTCAAATCTAACACATCTATATAGTAAATAGCTAAGATAAACTTGTCAGCTAGACATAAACCTCTTTTGTTTCTAAAAGATTAAAGTCTACTAGACTACCAATTATTCAACACACTAAGTTACGCCAATATGCATCAAAATAATTCAAATGTAAAAGATGATATGCTATGACCTATTACTATCTCATGAACAATTTTGGCAAGGTGGTCATCTCCAAGATGATTCAGGAGTCAGGAGAGGAAAGGCGGCGACATTGAGGAATTGAGAAAGTAAACTGTAGTCGGCTTAGAGGGTTGAAAATTTCAAGGATTTTGATAAATATAATTACATTTTAATCATGTTTTCTTATTTAATTACCTTCATGCTAATAATAATTTATAAAAAAAATATATTTATAGCTTTTTACGTATAGCAAAATACCTAGATGGTGCGGATTTGGGTATGGGGTGGGGATGCTAAAACCATACCTGCTCCATACCATCAAGTTATTTGCGGGTTTTATCCATACCCGCCCCATACCAAATCAATGCGGGGATTCCCCGTGTTGACTGGGTCGGAGGTGGGTAGATACCCGCGGCAATGAGTTTGATTGTTATCCCAAGTTATAAGTTAATTAGGAAGTATAGAATGTGAAGCAATGAAGTGGTTCAGGAATAAAGTTGGGTAGATGACAAATAGTATTTGGGTTATTGTTCAAATTCATTTTAGCAAGGATCAATTCGGGTAATTTTGTTGGGTAAACTCATATAAATTGTTTTAGTTTGGGTTACTCATAACATAGGATATTCAAAAGAAAATGAATAACTGATTCTAATGTAATTTTTTTCTTAGTGTTTGTTATGAATTAAGAAAGGTGGAAGCACTCTTACACCGTTTGAGTATGGGGGAATTTGATGACTTGATATATACACATGTTTTTGTCCACCATTCTTACACCGTTTGAGTCTTATCTCTCGTGTTTTAGGCCGATTTCAGGCTAGGTTGTTCTTGTTTGTGATATTTCAGGTCCTAGTACGTGAATGAAGGTTTGGGAACTAGTTCGGGGTCGATTTGACGGAGATCGGATGTTTGGCGAGAAGCTGAGGAAGTCACACGGGCATGCCTAAAACCCACACGACCGTGTAAGGGAACCATGTGGCCGTGTGGAAATTCCAGGGAACTCACACGGGCAGCCTGGAAATCCACACGGCCGTGTGGTTGTGGTCGTGTAGGATGGCTGAAGTCCACTTATCGAAACGCCGCGTTTTCCACAACTCACACGGGCAGCTGGGAAAGCCACACGGCCGTGTGGCCTGCCCGTGTGGTCGGGAATTTCTGGGTTTTAACCCAAATTCGAGCCAAAGGAGAGGGAATCGACTTTTTGGAGCAAAAACAGAGCCTTAGAGAGAGAAAGTGCGAAGAACACCCCCTACGAGTGGTTTTGGTGCTGGGTTTCATCAATCAAGCTTGGAAATCATCCTTGGAGTGGAGATAATCATCCCAGAGCAGATTCTTCCCATTGTTATGAGTATGACTGCTTTGTATTTTGTTTCCCTCTCTCTATGGAGTAGAACCTTCTCTCACTTGGGTATGAAGAATCCTAGGTCCATGTGTTAGGGATCTTGATTGTAATGACTTGGGATTGTTATACTGTTTGGTTTTAATCGAATGATGCATGATTCATTGAATCAATTGAAGTCTGATCATCTTTTCTTGATTTCTGCTGCAACCTGAGATAGATAGAATCTGATTAGGTTGTTAGAGCTTCATCATTCGGTAGTGGTATATTGGTTATACGAGAGTTAATCAATCTACTGCTTTGTACTGGAGCCCAATTCCAGTAGTGGAGTTCTGTGCTTATTGCCTCAGCTTTCTATCCCGGTGAAGACTAGTCGTCTGCTGGGTAGTTGGACTGAGAGGGCTTGGTCAGTTTAAGAGATTCCAAGCTGTTGTCGGATCTTCCGCAGTTTAATCAACAGTAAAACAACCCAGGGTAATTACAACTGAAACCTAACTAAGGAGATAGGGGGACTCATTCCCGAGTGACTCTCCCTTTGCTTTAGAAAACCGAATCATTTCCTGCTTTCTTACTGCTTTTAGTTAAAACCACAATCAATCGACTTAGTTGGCTAGATAATAGATATTCACGGAGTAGGCAGTAGATCTAGACCCCAGGTTGATAATTAGACATTGCCATTTTACTGCATTTCCGGACTGCGATTACACTTGGTCGCAGTTTGGTGTTGTGTTTTAGCGAGTCAGCTACTCATTACCATTTCCGATGAAAGTTTGTAACCTTTATTGTACTAGTTATGCCTATGTTTGGCCCGACTTTTAGAAGTGCTTTTCGTCTTCAAAAGTTGAAGTAGGCCAAACACTTTTAAAAGCACAGTTTTTGAAAAACCGAAAAGCGTTTATGCATAACATAAAAGTAGAAGCTCCATATTGGAGATTTTGTGAAAAGCTATTTTGAAAATACAAGATTATCCTTAACATATTTAAATTTATTTAAAAAATATAATCTTCTTTCATTTATATCATTTTAAAAATTAAATAAATTATAAAATTAAATTATTTAATATAAAAAGAAATCTAAAAAGATCCATTTTGACTAATTTTTATTGTTTAGAATTTTTATTCATAGTTTATATTATAAGTCCTTTATAATTATTTTACACAACCTCTTATATTAAAAAATACTTCTAATAGTTTTTCAGCCAAGCATTCTACCTCTTTTTTTGAAAAATACATCTCTAAAAGCTCCGTCAAAGCTCTTTCTTAAAAAACTACAACAACCCATATAAAATGAATTTTGTAGTTCTGAAAATTTGTTAATTGTATAAGGATATCGTTAAACAACGAGCAAGTCCAAACCGGAAGTGTCCTTGGTTGATTGTCAAGTATAAGCAACAACTTGTACTTTTCTTTTATTCGAGTGCGGCTTTTCAAATATTCTAGTATCTAATTACTAGATTTGAGCCCGCCCGTTGATTGGATGAATTTCGTTAATAGTATAAATAACCATAGAAATTATCCGACGCAAGAAATGTTTTATTTTATACCATAAAAATTTCGTATCACTTAGTAACTGGAGACAATATCATACTCGTATAATATTTGAACATGCTAAACCAATTTATTGCTAAAGTCCTTATTGCAAGTAAAAAACAAAACCATGCAAGAAAATCTACTCCTAAAAATATAATCAAACCGCACTATTTGCTCTTCGAATTAACAAATTATTGCAAATGTCATTTTAGATT